TTAAACCTTTCATACCATGGTCTGCAAACACATTATAGATGGGCAGAGCCGAATTTTATCTGAGTCTGGAGTGAAACACAACAGCGCTGAACACGTAGCAAGTCCGTGAAATGGCTTGAGAAGGGAAAGGGAGATGCAGTCTACGGTGTCGGATTCTGCAGAGGGGATTAAAGGAGGTGGAATTATTGTATTTAATGGTCTACTGCAAATGGTTTAGGTTTGGTGTGCCTGTCAGGGAACGCGCTTTCCCAAAGAGCCTGTGGGATGAATTATGCTGCTGCTTTCATGGAGGTGTCTCTGCAGTCGGGACACAAGACAACTTGTGTGCCTGTGAGGAAGAATTTCTTCCTTACAGCATTCCCATCCAGAGTCTCATCTTTTCTCTCTGTGGGTCTCACACTTTTGGTGTTGGATGAAAACTGGCCTGAAAAGCTTTTTTCCTTTTGTCCTAGGGAGTTGGGGTGACCTGCATCATGGGAGATGTGTCCTTTGTCTGGGCGGGTGCTGGTCCTCTCGCTTGCTGCTGTTCCTTTGTAAGTAGGACTGACAGTGGACTTGTGCCAGTTTGCTGGAGGCCTACAAGGAAGGAGTGGTGGAAACTTGTCATAAAGCCCCTACACTTCCACCTGTGTGCTCGGATGGGTGTTGAGACCCTCTACAAACACTTTCCAGAAGGCCAGGGTCTATGCATGGTGTGGAAGAAGCCAATGGGATAGGACTGGAAAATAATTCCTGCTTGTGGCTTGATATTCAGAGACATTGGCTGGAAAATGTGTCCTGCTCTTTGCTGTAGATACAGTCCCTTTTGGCCAAAATGCCTGCGCAATAGCAAGGAAGGATGCACTGAAGAAGCTGCCTGCGTGGTCCCTGGTCTGTCAGTAATTAGCACCTCTGATCCCCGGATTGTCTGTTAGCCCCTTCTTACCAGCCCGTAGAAATTGGATTGAAATGAAGCAGAGGAGAGAATAAACTTGCTAGGGCCAAGATGGCATTAAGAAATCTGTGGTGAATGCTCCACTAAGGTGGTTGCTTGGATTCCTCGTAGGAGCCAGTGTTGAGGCTAGAGCATCCTTCAGCGGGAGGCTTCTCCCAAAGCACTGCGTAACCTGAAGAGCAGCTGGCAGGAGAAAGTCGTTATCCTGTGCTGCTAATTTTCCAAAGGTGCTAGATAATCATGCTCAGTGGATGAGAAAATTGGTTATGAGTTTCTCTGGGATGTCAAATCAACCTTGTTTCCTCCCGACTCTGAAAGCTGCCAAGAACCTGATGGAAATGTTTATTAGCAAAACTGGAGGGATGAAATGGGGTGGGCCAGGGGAGGAGCAGCTGAGGGTACCTGTGTCTCCTGTGACCTCCAGCTCCCATGATAGGCCTCTTATTTGGACAGGAGCTGTGCTTTGGCTTACTGGAGCTGATGTGCTTCTAGGGGAGGTTAAAAGCAATGATTCCTCAGGCTATTTGTGCTCGTGGTTGAAGAAGGATTTATCCCCTGATCTGATACAAACCTGGGCTTTATCCTAAAATTGGTAAAAATGAAGAATCCATTCAGACTGATGCAAGCTTACGAGTCAAAAATCTATTCTTATAAATTACAAATGGATTCAGCTTACAAACGGGCTCCAGTGGCTGAATTTGAGACCGGTGCCTAAGCATGTTCTAGGCAGAGGCTTGAATGCTTGCTCATTTAAGCGCATGCCTGAGGGCCATGAATCAGGGCTGTGGGAGACTTCCAGGAAAAAAAAAATCAGGTTGGGGTTGTGGTGGGAGGCATGGAGGCTCAGCCACAGGCAGGGACATTGTCACTGCGTAGATGTGATGCCACGCCATGAGAGAGTGGCTGCCACCAAGTTTCTTGAGGGCTTGTGGGGTCACCTTGGATAAGATGTTTCCTGCCTTGCCTCTCTGCTTTCACTTGCATTTCCTGAGGCAAGCACCATCCCTTTCAGCATGTGTAGCACCTAGCACGAGGGCAGGGAGCGGGAATCCCCGGCTGCTGAGGTCGGTGTCGGTGGCTTTACCATCATGAGCTGCATGGGTGTCACTGTCCACCCAAAAGGTGCAGGTCACCTGCCAGTGGGGATGGCTACAAGGCCAGCAGAGCTGTGTCCTGAATTGCTCAGAAGTGTAGAGAAGGCCCTGATACGGTGCTGTTAGAGTCCTGCACTAGCTCTTCAGGCGTTAGCAGTGGAGCTGTGCTGGGGGAGACCCACTGTGCTGGGTCTCATGTACTCACCAAGTACGTGAGGGCCCTTGGTAACCCCATGAAGGACTACACAGCATCACCAGCCTGCCTGCCTTAGCTCTGCCTTCTGCCAGGAGAGATTGTCACCAGCAGCGTCCTGATGGGCACTGCCAGCTTCTGTTCCCTCCCTCTCCTCTCTCCTCTTGAACCCAGGCTTCTGTCTCCAGCCAGGTGGCTGCTCTCCTCCCTTCCCTGCTCTCTGCTGTCATCTTCATGCATAAAACATCTCCCCGTTGACTGAAATCCCATCTCTGGGTGGCCTTGTCAAGGGAGCTGCAGGGGGACATAAAAAGTCCCTTGTAAATCTCTGGCCTCTCATCCCTGGAAGCCTCACTGTGCCTCCAGAGAGCAGCTCTGCTGCTGTTCCTGCTCTTCCAGGGGCTGACATTTAGCCGAGGCAGGCGGGGAGCAGCCAGCTCTACCTTCCGCCAGCCTTCGGCAGTGACCACTGCTCTGTCCTCCAGGCAGGCTGTGGACATTGCCCCGAGCCTGGCACAGAACCAGGAGCCCTGCCTGCACATGGTCACTTCTGCTGTGACTGGTGTCCCTCCTGTGGGGTAGAAACCCCAGAAGGTTCCCTTCGGTCCCTGCTGGGGTGGATGCTCTAAGGAAGTGGGGAAAGGGGATCCCTGCGCCAGACCTGAAGAGACCTGCCTGGGAGCAGGGTGGCAGTGAATGTGGGGACAAAGAGGAGACAGCAGCTCACTGAGGACCCTGTGTATGCTCCTGATGCGGCCTCAGCTCCGAGTTTTATCTTTGTTCCTTCCTTAAATTACAGTGATATTCAGCAGCTGGCCTTGAGCCATTGTATGAATGTAGACAGGTGAGGAATGCCCAGGATCAGTGCAAACAGAGAGCCTGCTCTTTAGAGGGGAAAAGAGATGGGAGTGCAAGCATCAGATAGGATCACGTGGCATTTCTGTGGCAGAGGGGGGACTGTAACCCTGAACAGTTGGACAAATCACTGATTATCCTCATCATTCGCCTGTGCTTGCTGAGGAGTTGCAGCGTCATTCAGAGATAAGATGATGTTCATGGGTCTGTCCATGTTTGTTGCCTCAGTACCTCGGTAAGTAAATGACATTACACAGCCTTAAAAGAAGCTTCCGTAGAGATGGCTCTAGTTTGAATGAATGGAGAATCTTTCTTTGGGGAACCGTACCCAGTCTCATGGGGGTCACCTTGCACTGGTAGCTCTAGGGTAGGTGAGAAGCCTCCCTGCCAGCCCCAGCTCGTTGCCCTGGAGTTCAGATCATCCAGAGCCTGCCTGGCAGCTTCCAAAGGGCCTTTGAGTCGGGAAGCTGAATTGTGCCCAGAAGTGCAAATGGGCCCTTACACCATGGTGCCCGTCTGAAAGCAGTGCCCTGGGGTGGACAGCAGCCTCAGAAAGAGCTCCATCGTCTCAGTGAGGCTTGGGCTGATGCCAGCAAGGCTGGAGCGTGGCAAGCACCTCTGCCTGTCCGCCAGCTAGGCTGGGCTTCGCGTGCCTGCAGGGAGAGACGAGGTGGTGGCAGGTGGTGGGTTTGAGGGACTGAGGAAGCGAAAGGGAAGGGGCAGAGGTTGGGGAGCAGCCCAGGATGTTGAAGCACTCTGCGGTTGTTCTGATGGGGCTGTTGGTTTTGCAGCCCTTGTTTAAGCTCTCCAGGCACGTGATGACCTTGGGAGCATGTGACAAATTTCAGCCAAATTGCTAGATGTGATGGAGATGCTGAACTTGGAATTGGCAAGCTGGGTTCTCTCTAGCTCTGGCAGGGAAGGACAGGAGTGCTGCCAGGTCAGAGCTGGGATCCAGCCAGTCCAGTATCACTGACGATATTACTCTTCACCAAAGAGCTGCTGGTATTAAATTTTCCTGGTCATGAGCTTTGCTCGGCAGCTTCTCTGCTCAGTGGGGAGGAGAGACCTTGCAGGAGCAGCTCACCAGAAGGATGTATATATGAGGGGAAAAAAGACCCAACACGCCAAAACACCTCCTTTCTGAGAGCAGATCCAGAGTGTTAATGTTCCAGAGGCCTCAGAAGGAATCAGCACTTACAGCTGTCCCCAGGGAGAACTTCTATACATTAACTGAAGTTCACTATAAAGCCTATGTGAGCTTCTCACAGGGGAAGCTGGAGGAGCAGAGGAGCAATTGCGGATCACCTTATCTGGGTCCCAAGGTCATCTCTGTGCATGCTGTTTTAAATATATGTATATATGTAGTAATTAGTGTACTCAGTAATTGACTGCTTGTGCTGGGTAAGACAGCTGGTAATAAAATGGCAACAGAAGCTGAATTTCTGGGAGCGTTGGCAAGGAAGGCATCAGGAGCTTCTCCAGTGGCAGAGTTTGGGGTTGAGCTGTGGGGACCAGAGATGCTGCTCTCCTCCAGCATTGATCCCTGACCTGCTCCGACTCCTCTCCAAAGCTGCAGAAACCGTTCAGGTTTAGCCCATCCTGGGGTTCCTCCTGGCTTGACACTACCCACCTTGCCTCCCATACTCTGCTTCACTCTGCTCTCTTTCTGGCTGATGAGGAGGGTGTATTTGCTTTGTCAGCAGCAGCTTTGCCTTAACACTGTTGCAGTTCAGGAGAGAATAGAAAAATCTCAACTTTTTCACTAGCTTTTTAGGTAGCTCAGTCATTCACTTAGTGTTTGCAGAGTGGCCTGAGATCTTTCAACCTCAAGGAAGAGCAAAGCTATGTCACCCTAGGGTCCTAAGACAGATCATCCTTCCCCCTTCATAGGCATTAACTCCCTCTTCCCCTTGTCTTCCAGGTACTGAAAGGCTGCAAGAAGCTGAACCTGTCAGTGCATTCGGTGGGACGCATCCCGGGGGGTTATGTCACCAACCACATCTACACCTGGGTGGACCCGCAGGGCCGGAGCGTGTCCCCGCCGATGGGCCTGCCACACCACCAGAACAGCTCCCTCCGCAAGGACAGTGAGAAGAGGAGCCACCTCCAGCTCCTGCAAGAGGGAGATGAGAAGAAGGTGAGCAAGGGGGATCAGGCACAGCCCTGGGGGCCTGGCTGCGGTTGCCTGTTACCATGGAGATGCCAACCCTCTTCATTCCCCTCACGGTCTTCATTCACGTGATTCTAGCCTCCACTGGGATAGCCTGTCTCTCCTGAGGATACACTGGATCCTAATTTTCTCCCTTGGTCTGTAGCTTTCCCTCCATCTCCCTCGAGGAGTCCCGTAGGACAGGTGAAATTAGCTCTGTTCCCATTTGACACAAGTAGAACCTGAGCTGGAGACAAGGGGTTGTCCATATGCAGACTTGTGTGGCAGCGAGGGTCACGCCAGGAACAGTGATCAGAACTGAAGTTGCTTTTAAAGCTTTCCTGAACAGGTTGTTGTTTTGGCTGGAGTCTCACTGCCAGTAGGGTCACTGAGAGGCTGACATAGATGTTATGCTCAGGAGGCCTTGTGGGTTTGGAGAGCTAGATCTTAGAGCGCATTACTGCCCTGTTCCTGCATTTCAGATCTTTCCTCATCTGTTTTCGTGAGGCTTTCTTGGGTCTCTTGGCAGTTTTGTCTAATTTTTTTAAAAAAGCACTGATTTTTCTCTTCCAAAAATGCTATAAAATAAGATTATTTTCGTTTTCTATTTGGGGAGGGGCAGGTTGAACCAGGAAGGGCCTGAGCAGTGTCTGTGAAAAAGGAGTGGTGCCTGGGGGAGCTGGTGGTGTCTGGTCAGTGCTGGCCACTCCGACAGGGCCTGGGTCTTGGGCCTTTGGCAGAAAGGAAAGCACATCAGCACATCTGATTCCCAGTCCTCTTCTCTTACTGTGAGCTTGCTCCCCTTTGGAATAGCCCTTATTCTAAGTGAAGCCAGCAAAGGATGTGCTCAAGCTGCAGTATCTGATCTCAAGTATTTCATGTTTCTTGTCCCTCATGCTTCCCATGCCCAGACAGATCCAGAGACTTGCAGATGCATTGGAACAGTGCTCAGATGCCCTTGTGGTGAGGCATAGGCTGGAGGGGCAGACTCTGCTCGCCTGCTCGGTGCTGATGGATAGGGAACCTGTTCATCCTGTACAAGCAGGACGTAGTGTTGCCTCAGCGGTGTTCATAGAATATAAAAGTGTCATATGAGTGAGCAGGACACTTGCTCCCCAGGGGCACACAGTGGCTTGGACCCTTGGCATGTTTCTATCCTTCTACCTCGAGATTGCTCTGGCTGTCCCCAGCACTCTGATTTTATGCTTAAGATGTCCTCAGCTCTGCCTGGAAAGGCTGTGGAGGGATCTGTAAGCTGGAGCCTCCCATCTCGGCCAGAGAAGGGGGAAAAAAAAAATTTAGTACAGGATGAGACAGTTTGCTGATGAAATATTCATGTGGATCACAAGGGAGAAGGGCCTATTATTTTTACTTTAAGGAGAAGAGAAAAGCAGCTGCTGCTGGCTTGCTGGTGTCCCCCACCCCCTACTCCTCAGTGTCACCTTGACAGAGCAGGCAGCCACTCTTTGAAGCTGTAGGTAAGGGATTTTTCTCTGCCCGTTGTTCTTTGCTCGGTGCTGTGTAACGACAGGAAATACTGAGAAGCCTGCGGCTGTACGCAGCCCTGCCCGGTGCCTGAGCCTCGCCAGACAGCCCCTTCCCGTCCGTCCCCCGGGAGATGTGGTTACAGGTGCCCTTGCTCTCTCTGGGCAGCTTGGACTGGCCATCAGACCAAAGCACCCTCTGCTCTGCTGCTCCTGGGCCTCAGCTCCTCAGGGCTGGCTCCCAGGGGGTGCGCAGTAAAATGAACCACCTGAACTTTGCAAGTTAGAAGAGCTTGAATTAGCATAGCTTAATCTGCTTTGGAAGCAGAGGAAGCCGTGCTGAAGGAAGGCCACGTTAAACTTTGAAGAGTATCCGTGCTGGGCTTGGCTGCTGTTGGATATGCTCCTCCCAGGGTGTGAGGGGGGCCCCGGTCAAAGTCACCTGCTGTGGTGCAGGTCTAGCTGAGCTGGGCTGCAGGACCTTGGCTCGCAGAAGTGACTGTCCTTGCTGTCGGTGCTTATTGGTGTTCTGCTCACTGGTGTCAGGGTGCAGCTTGGTTTGCATTTTGTGATCACCTTCACTCCTGAATTCCCATCGGTGAGACCTGTGAAAGAAACTGACTGGATGCTGCACCTTTTAAATTACCAAGGCTGCCCAAACACTTCTGTATCCAGAGATGCCTTGCTTTGCCAGCTCACGGTGAAAGAAAACTCCACCGTGGTCAAAGGCTGGCTGGTGTGGTGAGGAGAGCCTGACCTGACCTGGCTCGTGGATTTGAGGCGTTATTTGGTGTGACTGCCTGTGTCTGAACACATGCTTCAGGGCATGAATTGGCTGAGTCGCTGTGTCCTGACTTACTGTGCACCATCGGAGATGAAAACATGTCCCAGAGCACAGGAACAGCCTGCCTAGAGTTTTTTTCTCTTTTTATTTGTATGTGTAAATATGTATATGTATATTTAACTATTGGAAGGGTGGCTGTTCTGTTCAAATACCATGCAAATAAATGCAATGTGTCCCTGGTTAATTCAAGTCAGTCAGCTGTAATTGACAGGTACTCGCGAGGGCTATTTGATTTCTGGATGATTTTACATTGTGAGGGAAGGGCTGAGGATTAGCTGGTTATTTTTTTCCCTCCTGTATCCCCTATTTCTAATCGATCTGAATGTCCTGCAATACATACGCAAAAGCTTTCAAACAGGCACCGGTTGGGAAAGTACAGTAGAGATCGGAGTTTGGCCGTACAGCAGGGTGATGTGAACCACCGAGTTTGTTAATGCATGGCTACAGCTCAGGAAGCCTGCAGGGCTACTGTAGTTGAGGTGATATTTCCAGCTTTTGCGAGGTTAAATTCAAGGTTGGTGGAGGCATCCTACATTCATCAGGCTATAAAGATATCCGTGTCTGGCTACCTTTCCCTCCAGTGCATCTGTTCTCTATGCCTGAAAGCACAGTTTTTGTAGCATAGTTTGCTTATCTGTAGGCAGAAGCATTCATTATCAAAAGCCTTGAAATGGAAACCGCTGCTGTTGGCGGGTGTGCGATAGTGTAACCGATCGTCTGGCAGAGGAGGGATCTGGTGCACGGCTGCGTCCCTTCCTGGGGTGGGCGCCCAGGCGGTGGGATGGAGCTGTGGAGCAGATAGGCTGGTGTGCAGCCGGTGTGGTTGGGCTTTCAGCTCCTTGGGGAGCTTGGCTGTAGCTGGTCTGGGGCTGACATATTCCTTGTGCTTGGCTTTCCCTTGTATTTTTGTGTTCACAATGGGATTTCTTCACCGTCAGCTGCAGAAGAAGCTATTACAGGGCTTTGGGGAGTTCTTGGTGGACTGTCAGCTCTCCATTGGCTTTGCTTTCACCATTCTGTTCTAGTCAGCGGTTCTGGGCCAAAATCCAGCTTGCACCAAGTTTGAGTCCAAGACTATTCTGTGTGGATGAGCAGGAGGTGACTAAGATCTGGGCCAATTATTCAGTGTAGACTTGACCTAACGTGAACGTTATCTCATGAAGGGACACAAGAAGGGCTGCAAGAATTAAAGGGAATGGAGGAATGAAGGAGGTGCTGGCACGAATGCATCTGTGGTTGTGCAATTCTTATTGCACTTCTTGACACTTTTGACATCTGTTGTCTGTGGTAGGTTGAAGAGATTATTGTTTTCCCCAAGTTTTGCTATTATTAGTTTCCTGCAGTAAGAGCAACCTTCCCTGCAGCCGTAATCGGGGAATTCTGTGGTTCATCAGAGGCCTGTACCCACCTTCTCCATAGGTGAGGTAGCCAGTGACACAAAGGGCTTGCACTAGTGGAGAGCTCTGGTGAAACGTTGTTGGAGCCACGTGTCTCCAGGACAGACACAGCAGCAGGTCACAGTCCCTCAACACCATCCCAACAGAGGATGTAGGCTGCCTGCTTCCAGTGGTCACCTTGTGCTTCAGGGCAGTTTGATTTTTATGATCTGTCCAGCTTCGGTCCTCCAGATTTTTCACAACAGCAAGGCCCATTTGTGCTGTGAATTGTCATTGATGTGCTTCTGGGATCAACAGCTTATTTCATTAAAAGCACTTGGGAAACCATCAGCCAGCAAAAATTCATAGGTGCTGCTGACTTGGGGGGAAGATGAACTGTGCAAAATACTCTGCAACTGTCAGACTGCTAATTCTCTGAGAAATACCATTTCAGCAGCTGAATCATTTCTTTAATGTGGTTATTGCCAGGGGAGCTGCTTATTCCTTTAAGCTTTTGGTGCAGCAGAAGAAAGAAAATATACGTAAAGAAGAGAGTGCAAATGTCTCCTTGCCTTCAGGCAGTTCTGTATCCAAAAGTAGCTGTAATTATTATAAAAAAAACAAAAAGAAAAAATATATCTGTGATAACATTGCCTGGATTGAATGTTTGAGACACTAATGGTGACTACTTGAGCATGAAGAATAAGAGATGCAGGAGAGATAAGGAAGGATTTCTTTCTATTAGATTGTAATGACATTTTCAGTATGAAGTGGTACAGCTCCCCACGTCCCCTACTGTTTGCTTGCTCTGACCTTGCTGGGGTTTGCCTTGGTTTACAGCTAGGAGCATATCCAGGCTACTCAGGGCTGTGTGGTTAGTTCCCTGTGGTAACTGGCCTGAGCCGCTGCTCCTCCAGTTCCCTGGGGCTTAAAGGTATCCTTGTGCCTTGGCTGCTCTGCAGCACTGTCACATCTGACTTACCCCAAAATGTCCCCTGGGTCAAACCTCAGCTTGCCTCACCCGATGCTGGTGGGCAGCAGAGCCATCTCTTGGTTATTTCAGACACTTAAAGCAGAAAAAAATAAATAAATTGATCACTGTGCTGCGTGAGTTGAGCCCTGCCCGGCAGAGGCTTGGAGGTGGCTGCCAGCACATTTCTGCCAGCAAAATCCCCATTGTGGCCGAACAAACCTCCCCCTGGAAGGGAGGCTGATGCTGGGGCAGCTCTCATGGATGTGACACCCCTGACTCTGCTGGTCCCAGTGTCTCCGTTAATGGGTTGGGAGCCGGCTCTGTGTTCCTGTGAGCTGGTGTCACAGGTTTGCAGGATGTCTCGACATAAGCCAGTGGGGTTTCCTTGGTAAGCAGGAGGAGGATGAGCCCTGCGAGGCTCCTCAAGTGGCATTTTTGTTGTACGGCACCAGGAATGGCATGGAAATAGCTGTTGGCATTGGCGAAACCTTCTCAGCCGCTCACGCAGCTGTGTGCCGAGTTGTACTGAGGCAGAGTAATTCTTGTCTGAAGTGATAAAATTGAATCTGTCAACAGGTAATTTCATAAACCCAGAGAAAGGAAATCCCATGCAAGGATCAACTCAGAGCAAATGCCCTCCTGATGATGGCTTTTTTTTTCCTTCATTTCCCGCTACAGGAGGCGGCAGATGTTCCAGCATTGAAATCGAAGTTGTGACCTTGATCTTCCAAATGTCTCTGTGTTGTATACGCAGGAGTAGCCTGGGGCTGGACACAGCCTTGGTACAACATAGGGGAGGAGGTGGGGACTGTGGTGTCTGTGAGCCTGATACTTGTCCCTTCTCAGCAAGGCACAGGGGGGTTACCTTGCTTGGATGTCCTCAGTTTCCCCCACAGAAGAGCTGCCTTTCTGCACAGCCTTGCTTGTTACCTCTGTTGTAGGGTGGTGTTAGGACAGCTGTGCCTTTAGCAGCTTGGAGTGATCCCAGCTCTTGCTGATATTAGTCTCCGAGGTTCATTACAGCCTCTCACTCGGAGCTTCAGCCTAGCAGGGCAGCAAAACAAAGGGAGAACAGAGGAGGGAGGAAACATAAAGTGGAAACACAACCAAAATGCCCTCTTCTGGGACAAGACTTGCACAGAAGTGTTAATCATACGTGTACGAACCTGCTCACCTGAGTGGAAAAGCCCAAGCACCGTCCAGGAGATGGTGTGTTGGAGTCAGTTCCCATCACGGCAGGAACAAGTTGCGTTGGTGCGAACCACTGGAAGCAACAGCCTGGTCACAGTGGGGGTGTTTACCTCCCTCCTTGGACAGCACAGCTCGGCTTGTGCTTCCCTGTTGTCCACAGCCATACCTGGAGCGTGATGTTACGGCACAGGGGAGGTACCCCCAGTACCTGGCATCGGGTGCAGACTGTGCCAGCCTCGTCTAACACCGTCTCTGCAGAGTGCCTGTCATTGGAGACAGCCTCTGGCAGGCTGGAGGCCCTTGGAAAACAGTGTGCAAAATAGTTCCCCCCTCTGATCCCTAAGCCCTTAACATGGAGTGACTCAGCCTTTGCTTCATCCTGGCAAGCAGCTTGTCTCTCCCTTTGGCTCCTGAACTCCTTCTCTCTGCTCCTCCTGCCTGCCTCCCTCATCACTCTCCTGTCTGGTGGCACTGAGCCCCTGCCTGTGAGCACTCACTTTATTTCTCAGCTGTTCCCTAAACCCACAGTTTGTCCGTAAGCCGAATGCTCCAACAGTGGTTGTTTCTCCAGCTCCTGCTGATGCTGCCACGCTTTTCCCGGCAGCCTGGGTTTCTGTTGCTGTTTCCGCAGGGTTTATTCAGAGAGGCGTAGGTATTAGTTGATTAAGAAATGCAATTAAGTCCTCAACAACCCAACTTTCTGGGATTGCCAGCAGCGACATATTTTTTAAGTAATGCTTATTTTTTTTTCACACAGCTTGGATTTGCGTGAAGGTCTGTCAGACTTTGATTCCTAGGGGCTGTATTCGTTGCTTTCTGCTGCTTTGAAGACTGGGTTTGCCTGGTGCGCCCGTAAACAAACCAACTCAGGCAGCAGCACGCCAGGTGAATAGGGAGAGGGAGTACCTCTCACTCGATCTGTTGATATCGGAGCGGGGAGAGCGGCTTCTCAGCTTACCAGCCCGTCAGGAAAATGTAAATGTCTTGACACAGAGCTACCCCTCCTGTTACTGACTCCAGGGGAGTGCTGGCATGGGTTTTGGAAGTCCAGGAACTTGTAAAGAGGGAGTGCTGCCGTTACCAGTCTCTTCTGACCCTGATCTGTGATTTTGTGCACTTTGCAGCATTTCTGCTACTCGTATTTTTCCTGACGTGGGGGAATTTTTGAAAAGTATGGCCACAATGTGAAGAAGTTAAAGTAGAAGGGAAACACTGGATGTCATTAGGTGAATGGGAAGAGAAAGATTTTGGAAAGGTTTAATATTTTTCTGGTTTTAATAAAACCCAGTAAAATGTTCTGTAAGTAATCATAGTCCAGAGCAATGTTTTCATGTAACAAGAAAGTTAAACTGCCCTTGATTTTGACAGGCACACGCTCTGCTGGTTGGGGACAATGCCCGCTCTCCTTTCCAGCCTGAAGCATGAAGGTCTCTTTATGGTTCCTTTATAATCCTTCAATCCTAGAGTTGTTGCCAGCACTTTGTGCACTTGAAAGCAGGGGAGGGATGAACCCAGGGAATGCCAGTTTTGTGCAGCCCTAGACAAGGACTGTTGGTGTAGAGGTAGTTTATGTCTTAGAGTTCTCTCTCTCCGGTTTTCCACATTTCTGGAGCACAGGGAGTGGAGGACAGCGATGCTGAGAGCCTGCCTGCGTTGGGAGCACGGTTGTGGGAGCACCCCAGCTTTAGCACACAGATCTGAGCTGATGAGACGTTAATGCAGTTGCCAGCCAGCTGTGATACTGTGTAGGAAAGTAGGAGCCGTTTTGGCATCCATTACTTAAAGCACAAAATTTTGCAATCTATTTCCCTTAAGTAGATTTAGGTCCTGCTGTTGATTTCTGTCTTTCTGCTGCACCACCACCAAGATAGAAAATGCATTTTCAATACCAGCCTCTCTAAGGCTGGGCTGAATTCCCTGCATGATGCTGTGTCCTCTGGAAAGGCAAGTTAATTAGCGACTTGAAGCTGGAATGATTTTTCCATCCAGGTAAATCAGCAAGCTTTTGATTTGACTGCAGTGAAGAGTTTTAAATATAAAAGCCATTCACAAGCAGTCTGTTTCTGGTTGTTTCTATCAGTGTGAAACACATTTTGGCTTTTCTCATTTGTTTTTAATCCTGCTGTCTGTTTTTTTCTAGAATTTACTTAAAAGTTGGGACAAAAGCAAAAAAAAAGAAAGCAGCCCTGGAGCTATTCATTTGGAAAATGTCGTGCAGTGAGTGAACAAAGGCCATTTTAAATTGAGAGTCCTTAAGGGAGCTAAACACAGGCTTGCTCATTCACTCTAAATTCTCACCCGAACTTTCGTATATCGTCAAGCCCTCTGAGTAGGAGAGCTTGGAAGAAGGCAGATGGGAAGCTGCCCAATAGCTTTGGCGTACCTTGCAGAATCAGCCCTGCAGCCAGCATGTGGGGGGGAAAAACAGCTGTCCAGGTGCTGTGTGGTGCTTCAGCCTGTCAGAGGTTTGCGGAAAACACTAAACATGTGTTGCAGTATGTGCTGCCTGTTCTGGGCAGGATAGATGGAAAATCTGTCCTGGCATTATTAATTAGCAATAAGAAGGCACATGCCTGTGCGGAGGAGTCCTGAGTGCCCAGATTCCTCCTGAAATAACGTTACTTGCTCCACTCGAGGCATTAACTTCCTTTTGTGCCAGTGCATTACTTCTGGATTTGTCACCTGAATGTCATTCTATCTTTCTTCTTCCAAGTTTTCCTTTGGTAGAGCCAGACTTCTGCATCTTTGCAGCGTGATCTGCCCTCTCACTCCACTCGAGCCTCTGAATTATTGAAAAACAGGAAAAGAGAAAACAAACCCTAATCATGGATGTTGCGTGTTCTCCGTGCTTCAATGGAAAATTTCCCCCTTGGGAGAATTGCCCCATCTGCCTGTGCTGCTCTCTGAGGGTGCACTGGCCATTCTGTACCTCTAAAGCATCTTTCGAGGCACAGCCAGCCCCGACTGTTTGTCCAGGCACAGGCAGGTGGCCAAGCCTAGGGAGCCACAGGAGCAGCCAAACCTGCTCTCCCCTCTCCTCTGCGTTGCTACAGGAGCTGGCTGCAGCAGGGAGGGGATATTGCTGGTTGTCCCTGCTCTGTGATGGGGCTGTGGTCGTCTGGAGGCATCTGCAGAAGGGGCTCTGTCCCAGGGTGTGTGCCCCTCAGTGGGGAACTGGGGCAAGAGCTGGTGCGAGCAAGGGAGACGTGGCTGTTGTGAGGAGCGTGGAGCTGACGTTTCTTTTGTGCAATGCTCAGACACCTATAAATGACTGTTCGTGTTCCTCGCAGGTGAATCTGGTCCTGAACGAAGGGAAATCCCTTGGCCTCATGATCCGAGGAGGGGCAGAATACTCCCTGGGCATCTACATCACCGGCGTAGATAAAGGCTCCGAAGCAGAGAGCACTGGCTTAAAGGTAAGAGTGACCCTGGAGTCGGCTGCAGTGAGAGTCAGAGCTTCAGGCACTGTGGCTGCAGGGCTGTGTCAGCGCAGAACTGCTGCTGTTCCTACCCCTCTGCCCCTGCCCAAGCAGGGCTCTCGATGGAGAGGTGAGTGTTGCATTTCTGGGGATGGCTTTTCACAGCAGGTTTGGACATTTTGGATACTAAGGCTAGAGAGAGCAAGGTGGTCGTGCAGAGAGGGAGATGGAGCCTTACAGCTTCTGGAGTAGGTTGTACTTGCCTTCTGCCTTAGCACATCCCCACACCTGATTTCTTCCCCTTGAGGTAGGCTGGGGTTGTTTTCCTGCAGATACCTAAGAGTGTAGCCTGGACCTGTCAGGTGAGGAAAGTCACTCTCACTTCCTCGAGCTGACAGGGAAGAGCTTTCTATTAAAGATCCTGGTTCTGTGACCTCTTCCTGCATCTCACATCCAAACTCGTTATATCTGGAGCTAGTGTTTTGCACTAGGTGCTGTTAGCCTGTCTGCAGGGAATGTGTTTAGCTGCCACGATGAGATTTAGCTACCAGGCTTTCTATGGCGAGAGCACGTGTGTGCTAGTTTCCTCCTGCATCACTGTCGTTCACAAGGATCAGGCCTTAAAAAGCAGAAACAGCAGGATCACCCTCAGGGAGAGAGCAGAGCTGATCTATCAGCAGCCTAACTTGGTGTGACCTCCAGCTACATCAGACTCCCTCCACAGTCAAAGAGGTTTCTAAAGGATGCTCTGGTTTGCCTGGGCTCTTCTGAGGCTGCGCTGGCTCCAGTTTTGCTGTGGACCTCTTGTAATGCGAGATCCTACATCTCTTTCATCCCATCGTGTACACACGCTCACACATTGCCTCTGAACTCCTCTGGCCTTCCCATTTGGACAGGGTGGGACATCCCAGGACCTTAGGTGTTCCTGGAAGGGGAATTTGGCATTCAAGTGTTATGTGTTCTAGGGTGTTCACCAGTAACATAAGTTGGAAAAGGAGCTGTTGAACTTACGATGTTTCTCTGTGCTGCTCATTAATGGGGCACGTCTGGAACTCAGACTCCTCAGGTTGTAGCATTTTGCTTTATCCCTCAGGGTTTCTTTTCTGGTGTGTTTGTTCTCTCTAAATCACCCAACTTCCTGCAATCACATTGTGACCTTTTTGCTTCCTCTAGTCCAGCCTGTGGGCTCAGAGGTGGTTCTTTCACTGATCCTTGTGTCAGTCAAGACTCAATGGGTGTTAAACTCCCTAATATTCTCTCAGGCTCTTGAAATGGTGCTGGACTGCTGAGGATCGAGGGGTAATCTGCTCTGATCCCCTCTCTGTATTGTCAAGTGATACATTTCTCCCTTGTTCAGCCCTGGAGAGTTGAGGGCTAAGCCTTCAGCTTTGCTCCAGTGGTCATTTAAATCTGTCAGGGCTGGTGGAGGGGGCTCTGATCTGGATTTGGGCTGGGGCAGATACTGTCCTCTCCCTCAAGCTGCTTTGGCATAAAACCCTGGGGCCTATCTAGCTGAGCATTGTGGTCACCAGGGCTCCCTTTATAGACAAAGGAGAAAGAGGGACACATGTGCAGGGATAATTCAGCCACTTCTGAACTTAAAGTTGTCTGCTGCAGGGTCCTGTTCCTCTCTGCTGACTCATTTTGACACAAAATGAAAATGACATCCCTGGAGGTTTGGATCAACCGGAGCCTTTAATGTCCCCCTCAGGTCTTTAGGAGGGAAATGGGGTTTTGGACCCTCACAGAGGAGAGGCTCACTTGGGCTCTAGGGATGAGGAGCTGTAGGAGCATCCTAGGGAGATGGCTGAGAGTGTTTCTCAGGGCAGCAAGAAGTGAAAGCTGCTGCTGGTGACTCCCTGCAGACCAGCCTTCTTTCCCAGAGCTAAGTTTCTCCTCTGGGCTGATCACCTCGCAGCCGCTCTGCCTGCGCAGCCGGGATCTCAGCGCGTGCGTGTTCATTACCGCAAGGTCGTGGTGAAAGGCAGCAGGGACAGTGCTCTGGGGCACAGGAGTTTCAAGACAGAGATGATAAGAGGCACAGGATGGTTTTTTTCTGCCTAATAGAGCTGGAAAGAGAGGAACTGGCTCGAGCTGCCCCAAGCGTCACAAGGGTGACATTGCTGAGTCAGAGGACCTGCCATCTGAAGCAAGCGTGTTTGTCCCCAGCGCCTGCTGACCCTGTGCGAACGTGTCAGACTCCATCTCATAACCACCATAAGCCTGAAAGATTAGAGGCAGGAAAAGAAAAAGAAGTTGCATTATTTTCTGAAGGTTCTTTCTGTTTGTTTCATGTTTAGTGCTTCCATGCTGCTCCAAATTCTTCACTAACGCACGGGAAAAATTACTGCTTTCCTGGGTTCCGTCTGCCTGCTGACAGCTAATGCCACACTGCAAACACGCACACGCAGGGAGGTTCACGGCAGCGTAACACGTGGCTTTATTCCCCCGCCTCTCATTTCATGCCTGCTAGGAAAGCAAGAAAATAATCACAGGCACACCACAGTCGAAGAACATGGAACAACACCTTCTACTCCCCTCCGTCCCTACCAAGCAGGGTCCCCCCACTAGGGCAAATGTTTGCACGCCAGAACCTCTGCTTGTTGATTCTTTTTTTCTCTTTCCTTGCTGTTCTGTTTTCTAGTAACTGATTTGTGCGTGCCAGCAGGCCAGTGCTTCTCCGAATGTCAGGCCTTATGCAATTTCAGATACGCGCAGATGCTTCCCACCATGATTTGTGTGTGCTGCAGGCCTTAAATTTAGAACTGCTTGGAGATTTGGAGATAAAGAAAGGCCTTTTATGTTCTGCTGTTAGACATGGTTGGGTGTAGACTACATCCACAGCTCCCTGAGCTGCTCCTGGTGCTGGTGGAGGGGATGTGATGCCATGAGGAGGGAAGAACTGATGGGTAAATATGATTTCCAGGTAATTCATTGCTCTCTCAAATAGAAAACTTGTGGATTTGTTCAATTTGGGCTCAACCCAACCTTGCTGAGTTGACAGGAAGGTTCCTGCTGGCATTCCAGGCAGTGTGTGTTTTGCTGCTTTCACTGAATTTATTACCAGAACTGTTTGAGTTGATTCTATGGGTGGATGTTGTACTGAGGGACATGGTTTAGTGGTGTTGATAGGGCTGGGACAAAGGTTGGACACAATGATCTTTAACCAAAACTGTTCTATAATTCTGTAGCAGACTTCTCATTTTAGGGAAAACCTGCTTGCCTCTGTGGCACCAAATCAGAATTTTTTGAACATTTTTAATAACGTGTTTTACATTTCCCTTACATTTTGATTAAAGGGTGAACAACACAGTACTGAAAGCCAGTCAAAACCCAAGAGGTTTCTCCTAGGCCCAAAAGCTAAGCTGGCTTTCATCTGCTAAAGGAACAAGGGCCACGGTCCTGCGGAGTGGGTCCCGGAGGAGATCTAGCCCTGCCAGTGCCAGTTTGGGTACCGTCGCTCGGTGGCCACGAGGCAGAGAGCTCTGCAGGTGCTGGCAGAAAACAGGCTGGATTGCTGCAGTCAGTCAATAATTAAATATTCATACTCTTGGCCTTGGCCTCCTTTATGTTTATTCATTCATGAAACTTCTGACAATGCGTTCTTTGGGCCTGTTTTAAAGTGTGCTGCCTCGGTGTAAGTTCTCAGGCTGAAAAAGTATGAGTTGGCAGAGGACTGCAAAGGAGGAACATGAGCCAGTCTTGTTTGCTTTCAGCTTCTGTCCTTCCTGCCTCCTTCATGACATTCGCAGTGATGCTGCACAGGAGCTGAGCTTGTTCTGCTGGTATTTCTGGCTCTGCTCATCCCAATTTCTTCCTCATTCATTTTTTCTGATGGTGTGTTTTGTCAGGTTTTTTTTTTTAAGCATTTTTTTTTCCTATTCTCTTGACCTTTACTTCAGAAGTAACAAATTTCAGGTAGTTTTCTTTGAACAAACAACTTAGTATTGACTTTCCAGCACAAAGGTTGGGGTAAAAAGAGGCTGCCCGTGATCCATGTATATCACAGAATGTTTGGGGTTGGAAGGTACCTCTAGAGATCATCCAGTCCAACCCGCTGCCCCAGAGCAGGATCACCCAGAGCAGTCACACAGGAACGTGTCCAGGTGAGCTTTGAAAGTCTCCAGAGCAGGAGACTCCACACCCTCCCTGGGCAGCCTGGGCCAGGGCTCCGGCACCCGCACAGGGAAAACGCCTTTTCTAATATTTTTGTGGAACCTCCTGTGTCCAGCTTGCACCCATTGCCCCTTGTCCTGTCATTGGGCATCCCTGAGCAGAGCCTGGCTCCGTCCTCCTGACACTCCTCCTTTACCCATTTATAAACATTAATAAGGTCACCCCTCAGCCTCCTCTTCTCCAGCTGAAGAGACCCAGCTCTCCCAGCCTTTCCTCATAAGTTCCAGTCCCTTCATCATCCTTGTGGCTCTGCACATGTACAAGAGCCAGGAGGATGCAAAAGAGAGACTAAATAGAAAGAGGTGAAGGATTTTACTGGCTTGTATTTTGAGGTCTGCACATAGACAAATTTACTGAAAAAGAGAAGATAAAAGAACCTCTGAGACTGCCTTGGAGTCTGGGGAATAAGCTGTATAGTGAGAAATTCAATGAGGGAGGTGTGTGGTTGTGATACACAAGATGTAACCTTGCTGCTGGGGGCAGTGTGGTGTGGTCCTTCAAACCGTGTCACCTTCATGGGGACAGACAGTGATTAAATTTTTCCTCTTCTGGGAGGCTACCAGAAGCCTCCCCGCAGCACTGCCTGCCCCAAGAGACCATCTTCTCTCCTGGTATGCTTTCCTTTCCAGTCTGTGTCTGCTTTGTGTCGCAAGGTGTTTGGGGAAAAGAACATGGTTTGAGACAGCACATGGCACCCGCTGATTGCGTGCCTTGCTCCCGAATCTGTCTCTCATCTTTCCAACAACAGGCTGGGTTGGCATCACTGGACATGGATCATCTGCCCTACTGCCCCTTTTCCCTTGGGAAGCTGAATATCTCCCTGTTTTCCTGCGAGTCTTAATTTGGTCATTTCCAAATCAATTTGTGCTTTTTCCTGTCCGGATTTTTAATTTCTTGAGGTCTGCTTTGGTAATTATTTGTGCTAAAGAGAGACTTCTTCTACTTTAGTGGTATCTGCAAGTGTAATTTAACCTCTCCTCTAGCACATTAGTGGCTTTAAATAAGACTGGTGCCAGTGCCAAACCGTTTGGCATCCTATTAGCCCTGTTAGTCCAAACTCAGTTTGGTGTCATTTAACATTAACTCATGTTTAAAATTTCTCACCTATTTTTCTGTCTGTGAGACTGAATTTCTCCCAGAGCCAATTTTGATTATTTTTAAGAGACTCAGAACCCGTATCTTAAGCCCATTAAGTTTCTCTCGACTGCACCTCCCTATCGCATGTTATTCTCTCTGTAAAAAAAAAGAGCCAAGCCTGTCACCGACATGTGGTTTTTCTTGTCTGTGGCCTGCCGTGTTTTGGATGTCATGTTCAGCCCTTATGCTTCAGGATAGATTTTTCCCTAGGAAATGGGAATAATTCCATTTTCAGAAGTGGTCAAGCACTCAGCAGGTCCTGTTGTGTCCACCCACCATTAGCTGAGCACAACTGAAAACTTGTTCCTGAAATACCCAGGGCAATATTCTTTCTGTGCATTGTTACAATTTTTGGGTGTCTTATTATTTCTTCTTTTATTCCATGCTGGTTCGGAGCTGTGCACACAGCAAATAATTTGCCAGGGTCAACGTTTATTTTAATAGATGGTTCTTTTGCATCTCTGCAGTCTTTTGTTACCTTCCCGGTTGTCCTTGACTTTGGGGAAAAAAAATTATTATTATCTATATTAATTAGCAAAAAATCCTTTCCAGCTCTGTCATCAAGATAGGCTGATTTGCAGGCATTTGGGCCATCCAGTGATTCCCTTATCTGTCCTTCACCAGCAATTATTTTTGTAAGGTCTTTTGTTTTCCTCCCCCTGCATGAGGTGCTCATTTTGTAGCTGGCTGTTCTCACCCATGTTAATATTCTGGCCGCACCAGACAGGGGTGGTCTTGTGCTGGGCACTATGCTGATGGAGCACAAGAGACCAGAAAGCTGTGAAGGATTTGGAATAAATGTTGAGGTAGCAATGAAAGACAGATGCAGACAGATGAAGTAGCTTGTCCAGGGCCCCTCTGGTGTCCCTGATATGGTGAGGGCTTGCCAGGTTTGTTTTGATCCACTCTGGACAGGAGAAACTAAGGAGAGGTTGTTAAATCTGTATAACTTGTCTTGAACAAAAAAATGATGCAAGCTTAATCCCTCATATGGAAAACCACTAAAGATTCATAATTGCTATAAAACTATCTAATTGATTTTGGATTTTTGTTGTTTTGGTGCTGCAGTGAGCTCAGTGCTCCTTATTTTAGCAGCAAACTCCACTCCAGCAGGTTGCCCAATGAATTAGAAAGACCTGAGAGATGATACTCATTACACTTGAATGTGTGTTTCTCTTGGCAGTTTAGACACTTGTGTAATTTCCCCTCCCTGTTTGGTTGGTGGTCAGCAATTTTCCAATTGTTGGTTTCAAACTGACAGAGCTCAACAGGAACCTAAGACATTTGTGGAGTCTGATGGTTTGGAATGTGGTCATTTGTGTCGTTTTGTCTTCCCCCGGGCTCCCTCCCTTCCCGTTTCTTGGTCTCTGTGGCTCAGCTCAGGTAGAGCTGGCTGCCTCTGGCTCTTTCTGCAGCTGGTTCACAGAGGTGAGGTTGGCTCCAGACTGTCTTTCTTTCAAACCAGGGAAGTTTTACATCCCTGACATATGATTTTGGCAACTGATCTGTGCTCTGCAGTCTGCTGGGAAGGGTGTGAGTATCCCACCCTGGCACAGCTCTTCTCTGCGTTCTCTTCTCTCGGGCCAGCTGCTGCGAATGGCCACCGTCCCCTGGTCAGGACCTGCCAAGTCCAACACAGGCCCAGTGCTATGTCTTGTCTTTCCACAGGGAAAATCAGCTGGGGAAGGCCAGGCAACAGCAGGCAACTCTGTTTGCAGGACCTGCTGTTTCAAGCATCTTGCTGGAGCCAAAGAAGAAGATGCAGCAGGGCCTGACCTGTGCCAACCCCGGGGCCTCGCAGTGGCTGTTGCAATGCATCTGTTGCACACTCCCTCTTCCCTTCGAGCTGCAGGCTTGCATCAGCCTGGCTTGAAGGTGTTGGCTCCCTTCTTTATTATCATCTCTTTTGCCTTATTAGCTGTGCTGCTGCCCTGTTAACAGCAGTCACGAAGACAGCAAGCACAGGGCATTGGCTGACCCATGTGAGGTCAAACTCGGGGGCTCTCAGCAGTGGTGTTGGTAGGGACTGGGCTCTCCTGTGCTGCTACAGCCCTTGCTACCCACCAGCCCCTCTGTGTGTCACAGAGAAGGATACTGTCCCTGGAAAAATGAGGTGAGGTCTCTAGACAGAGCTGAACACAGAACCGAGCTCCGCTGCATCTGCACTCTATGACCTCAAAGGTCTTTTCCAACCTAAACAATTCTATGGTTGTGTGGTGCTCTTGCTCCATGTCCTTTTCTCCTGCTGATGCCACTCAGAGCGTCCTTCCAGCCTCACTGAGCATCCTCTGTCCTTTAATCAGAAGGAAGGATAAACGAGAGCCCTTCTCTGGCTTCTCATTATTGGCAACATTATTTTGTGTAGCTCCATCAAGCTCCCCACACATTATCTCTTCTCTAAATTTAACAAGCCTAATCTTTTCGATCTGTCCTCTCGCAGGCACCTTCATCTGCCACTAATCATTCCTGTTTCCCTCCTCTAGAATGTTTCTCTCTGCATCTCCTTGCTGGGCACGCAGAGATATAACCAGGGAATGCTCTCACGCCAAGGTCATGTGTTCACTTGGATATTGTCATTACACCAGTTTTAGAGCTATTCTTGATCGTGGTTTCCTACCACGATTTCCCCTCGTGTGCTTTTGTTGCAGGTTTGCCTCAGAGCTGCACCCTGAGCCAAGTGGCTTATGCTAGGGGTTATATGGTCTTTTGCTGGTGTACTCTCTGGTTATTATATCTCAGCCAGTGGCCAAGGCCTGCCTGGTTCTTAAACACCTGTACCTGCCCCTGTCACCTCTGACAGGGCCCTGCTAAGTCATGCTCACTTTTGCCACCCAGGCACTCTGTGCCGGCTCACTCCTCTCCTTCTCTCTACCTGATTTCTCATAACGATCGCCTCGGGTGGTGTGAACGGCGTCTGTCACGCCACGGACCCGAAGAGAGCCAGGACTGTGATCCAGGGGTCTCTTCTGGCCCAAGCAGCAGGATTTCTCTCTGTCTGTTCTTCCTCGTTCTTGTACTCTCTCTGCCAAGGATGGTCCTCATGGGGATGCCTGGGGAAGCCATGGTCAGGTTTTATCAGCTCTGTATGTGATGTCACAGCATGGCCACTGTGCATTGGTTTCTGTCAGCCCTTCGCTGATGCGCTAGTGGAAGGAAAATGCTGTCTCAGGAAGACAAAAGGAGAGCAGTGGATGCCTCAACAGGAATCCTGTTAGCCCGGAAGCCTTGATGGTTGTTGGATCGGCCATCTGGCTACCACAGGCACAGCAGCACAGGCTCACAGAATTCCAGTGGGAGTGTGTGCAAAAGTGTGCAAGTTGTCCGTAGGGTGTCAGTCCTACTGCCACAGCACCCGGCCACCTTCCATCTCGGCTGGCAATGCCGTGCCTGGATTGCAGCTAATGCAAGCCCTGGCCCCATGCTCTTGGGAGCTTCAGCACAGCTGTGTCACAGAACAGAGACGATGCCCCAGTGCAGGAGCTGTACAGTGGTTTCTGGGTCAGTTGCTGCCTCCTCAGGCCAGCAACTGGCTTCCCTTCCTTGGTGGGGCAGCCGATGGAGCTCTCATGCTGAGCTGAGCTTTGCTGGTGGTATTCCCCGTGTCCACTTTCACCCCAGCAGAGTTCTGGATAGCACTGAGAGAAACTTATGTGACAGCAGAGTCACAGCCCACCACATAGACTTGGCAGTGGCTAATCATGGCTCCTCAGTGGAGTAAGAGTCTGGAGAATTAATCCCAGTTCTCTAAGGCTTCCTTTACCCAAGACTGAACTGAGAACATCACGTTGACTCTCCATGTATGAGGAGTATCTTAGACTTAGAAATTCTCCCTCATCCCTCTTTTCCTTATTTAAAGGAATGTCTCATTCTGCTTGCATTGAAGCATAAAGAAAATAAGACTGTGTTTTGACAGAGCTGAACAGAATCCTATAGTTAAGCAAAGATTAAAGAGCAATTTCATAGAGTTGTCTTATCAAAACCAGGGTGAATTGTGATATGGGAATGAGGCAGTGAATGCCCTGGAAGCAAAGAGGACCTAGGATGAAGGGGAAAATGTCAGATGAGTGCTGTGTCTTGAACATGGCCAGGCTGCCAGGGAAGCTCCTGATGACAGCAAAGATTCTGGCCACAAAATAAAAACTCTTGGGATCAGCTGTGGAGGAAATAGGAGGAGAGATGAAAACCAGCTGTCTCAGATCCTACAGTTTAAAGAGTGTTGGAGACTGTGGTGAGACACCGGAGTTGAACCCTTGGTGCTGCACACAGAGATCTGAGGTTCGGGGCTTCCGCAGATGGTTCTTGGCCTGCCAGATCAGCAGGAGGAACCAGGGCTGGAGGTCTTGGTATTCTTTGTTGTAACCAAGCTGGTCTGCAGATCTAGTTAACGGAGGAAAACGGGACAGATTGGTCTGACTTTGGATCCTACACAGGCTCCTCCAGGCCTCACAGCCTGGTCCTTTACTGTCTGTCAGCTTGAGTGCTTGGTCTCCAACTACAAGCACTTGGTCCCTTTCCCTCATTTTTCTTGGTCCCTCCAATTGCTGTATCCATAGTTTGGCAGTGGGTTAGGCTGAGCAGCTCCTCCCTGGTGGGAGAGAAAGGCATATTCCTAACAGGAGAGCCCCCAGGGTCTCCCAGTCTCACCCCATCCTGACTCCTCAGGTCGGAGACCAGATCCTGGAGGTGAACGGCAGGAGCTTCCTCAGCATCCCCCACGATGAGGCCGTGAAGCTGCTCAAGTCTTCCCGCCACCTCATCATGACGGTGAAGGACATTGGGAGACTGCCCCACGCCCGGACCACTGTGGACGAGACCAGGTGGATCGCAAGCTCCCAGATCGGAGAGACCCTCGTCAGCTCAGCAGGGTACGTGCTTGGAGTCCACCCTGCGCGAGCTTCCTGTGTGGGTCTGTCCGCTCAGAGCTGCTGTGGGGTCATGCCAGGTGGGTGTGGAGCCCCAGCATGCGACACGTGTCCATGGGGGCACCCCTAGTGCTCAGGCATGTCACCCCTGTATCTGGTGCTTGGAAGGCTCTGTAAGGCAGCGTGGGTCTGGACAGCACGCTGCTGCCCTTTCCCTGTTCTGCCAGGCCAGAAGGTTTTAGTTTACAGCCGCAGAGAGGAGAGTAGGGAGCAGGTCTCGTGCCAGGTGTCGGTTGGTGAGTGACGGCCACATGGTGCTCGGTGCTGACTGATCTTCTCCCTCCTCGCAGGGCAGTGGGTGACCATGCTGCGGAGGCAACAGCCAGGGTAAGAGATATTGGGCTTTCCTGATGCCTTGTCAAAAAAATCACCGTTATGATTTCTTATTTTCTATGGGAGAGCGGGCTTTGTGCCCCTGATTATAAAAGAGATGCTACTTTGATGAGGATCGGTGGGTTTTAACTGGCTCTAGCCTTTCTCCTTCCTGCCTCCTGTTGCCAGCTGTGTTTGTGTGTGACATAATGGGTGCCCTGTCTCCTGTACCACCAGTGGGTCAGTTTTGCAGCACATCTGGTACCTCCCAGCCTGGCAATGATCACATTAATGGGCATGAGGCAATGGTCACGCACAGGCAAGGACCATGGGGCCCCCTTCCCTTCAGAGGTGACCATGTTATCTTCCACGTGGTGGCTGTCTCTGCACCCTGACAGCTCCTGGGACCGTTCCCACCCCGAAGCAGAGCTAAGCCAGCCCTCTTGAGCCAGGCTTGCTCAGTGCCAGCAGCTCAGTGCCAGCATGTCTTCTCCGAACACCTTTTTATAAAGCATGCTTCTTTTGAACAGAAGTGAAGCAGTGAGGTTTCACAGGTGGCTCTCACTGATAATGGCTTGATGCTTTTTGCTGGCGAAACATTCTCACCAGCCTCAGCTCCTCTCTGCCTCTGGGATAGTCAGGGCTTTGTCTGGGTTCATCCCTATGCCGACTGTGCCAACGCTGCCTGGGACAGGAACAGCAAGGACCTCCTCTTAGAAATAATCCTTCTCAAGGAAAAAAGCCTTTCATCTGCAGCCAGACATGTCGTTCCCTAGAACTCCTTTGGTTTCCAGCGGCCCTTTGTTCACCAGGGTCTGCTTCGAGCTTGTGGTGGGGGCAAATGTGCCTTTTACACAAAATGGAAGGCTTGCCTCTTGTGGCCCAAATTCCTCCAGCTCTGCCGGGAAGGAAAGCAGCCTGCTATTACATCAATAGCTGGTCAAGGGACAGCATCCACGCTTGCAGAACAGAACTGGGAAGCTGTTTTGTTTATTCAACTGGTGTTGCATAAACTCGTGGCTCTGGAGTTACCCAGACAAGCAGTGGCGCTAAGTGAGCAGCTGTACCCATGAATCCTTGGGGGTACCTGCCTCCAGTCATTCTCAGTATCGCCCTTCCAGCCCCGCTTTCCAGTTTCACCACAGGTAGCTCGCTGGGTGAGAGGGGCAGTCTGAAGCACAGGCAGCTTAGGCTGATGGGCTGATTCCTCTGCAGCCCAGGCCAAAGCCCATCTCCTGTCTTCTGCAGCCTCTGTTCTACCGGGGCCTGGCCGGCTCCCAGGTGACACTGAGCAGCATTGTGAACCAGACCCGGGTCATGCTGGAGGAACAGGCGCGGCACCTGCTGAATGAACAGGAACGGGCAACCATGGGCTACTACCTCGATGAGTATAAGGAAGGCAACATCTCCGTGGATGCTCTGGTCATGGCACTCTTTGAGCTACTCAACACACATGCTAAGGTGAGGCCCACATCGAGGTCAGGGACAGTTTCTGGTACCTGGGGGACTGAGCAGAGCCATTGTCACAGTGTGGCTCAGTGCCTCTGAGGTTATCTGCTCAGGGTCAAGGGTGAGGGTATGAAAGCAAAATGCAGATGTAGGACGTTACAGGGGATACAGGCTGGCATTCAGTGGCAGAGGAGCTTCTGGTGAAGTTCAGTCCTAAACCTCCTCGTGTGCCACCTGCTCGTGCATGTCATTACCACTGTAGAACAGTGTGGGGGGATGGGTCTTCACCTACCCAAGAACATGGTCATGCTCCAACCCCTCTTTGGTTGTCTGTTTGCCTGGCCCAGTTCTCACTGCTTTCAGAGGTGCGGGGTGTGATCTGCCCGCAAGACCTCGACCGCTTCGACAACTTGGTGCTGAAGAGAGAGATTGAGTCCATGAAGGCTCGGCAGCCCTCGGGGCCCGGCGTCAGCACCGACTCCTACTCCATGATGTCCTACAGCGACACCGTCTCTTCCTCCAGCAGCCACTTCACTGCCACAACTGTCAGCTCAGCCCGGGTGAGTTCCTCACTGTTCCTTTCTCTTTCAATGCTTGTTTCCCTGCATTTCACGTCACAGAAAACCATGTTCAGTCTCCTTCCCCCATGGTTTCACCCAAAGCTTTCTCTTTTCCTTGTGGGCTAGGTGCAGCAGTGCCATTTGTAGGTGTCATAAGGTGATGCTGAGACATATGCTTGGTATCTCTGTGCCCCGAGACACCATCATCCACTGCATGGGGGCTGCGCCTGGTGCTAAATGTCCCTTTGTCCCCAGCGAGGGGGAGGTTCTGCCTCCCTTCCAGGCCTCCCACTGTTCAGTGTGAACTCCATCCACACAGAAATCTCAGTGACATGTCGCTGCCACACCACGCTATTCACCAGCTTGGGCTGTCGCTTTTAAATCACCTCCTTCTAGATATTATCTGCCTGCTCCCTGTCCCAGCAGGGACTGCAGTGCTCAGGCCAACTGTGTCCTGTCCCAGCCCCTGCCCACTCTCCAGCATTAAGCAGCAGCACTCCCGTGTCTCTGTGCCAGGCCTTCGTTGCACGCACCGTCTAATTAAGTTATTGTAATCACCTCAGAGTGTGCAGGCACACAGCCCCAAAATTAATTTCCTAGCCATAAAATGCCTTTCATGCTAAATGCATTAGCAACCTTGGAAATTAAAACCTTTGTGAAGGGAATGGATGACAATGGGCTTTCTGCTAGTTTGACAGCAAGAAAACCAGCCCACAGCCAGGGGGAGTGGGACTGTGCTGTGGAGGGTCCAGGCAACACAGCCCTCACGGGGGAGAGGCAGGGGCTTCCCTGGGGCTGTTACATGGTTTGGTCCAACCTCCTGAGAGGCCTCAGAGAGTTTTAAAGCGTCAGAGCTGTGTTTTTGTCCCATTGACTTCACAAATACACATAGGAAAGCCATCTGCTCCGTTCAGGATGGATTACGGCAAGATCTTTTCTGGACCAGGATGAACAAAGTGAGTTTTGTTCTGCTCTCCAAAGGCCACCTGAGAAAATCTTTCCCAAGTGTGCGCTGAGCATGACACCCAATTCTCCTGCTACTCCTGTGCCTGGGGCTGTGCCACCTGCTTCGGATGTGCCGTGGTCTCTCTCCTGCTCTGTGACACCACATGCCAGGCATGGCTGCTTGG